TATCGTCACACGAATATCAGAGCGCAAAAGCAAAAAAAAAACAGAAGCAAGCAAAAAAGATTGATTTTTTGTCTTCTTCCTTACAACTCCCCCTGGAGTGCAAGGCGGAGAAAGACGCAACAAAAAAGGATGTAAGTTGAGCGGCGGCTATTCTCTGCCTACGGTTCACCCTATTGTCTCAAAAACATCAGAGCGCAAATGCGGAAAAAAAAAAAAAAAAAAAAAAAAGGAAAAATGAATTCAGTTTTTTATCTTCTTCCTTACAACTCCCCCTGTTCAGAACAAACAGATCTGCCATATGTATCGTCAAACAGATCTGCCATATATATCGTCAAACAGAACTGCCTGCTCAACCGTAGGAAAAAAGGGACAAGAGGGCAACAAACAAGGGGCTGTGTGTGACAAACTGTTTCATCGGAGATTCTGAGTTTCACCGACTCCTCAGGAGGCTGAACCCTCTCATCAAACAGATATGTATATTATACATAGAGATATAGATATAGATATCGTTAAACAGATGTAAAAATTACGCTTACAGCGATTATACCTGCCAAGAAATCCCTCACTGTGCTCACCCGTCAATCATATCTATATGACGATATATACATACAGATATATTGTCACAGAACTATTACATATATATTATCTAGAGATTGTCCTTTTCTTCCTCTCTGCCTGAGGTTTACCAGGCAGCTCTGAGAGAACTGCCCGGTAAACCGTAGGCAGAAAGGGAGAAGAGGAGAACAAAGGAGGGGGGGCTGCAACGGACTGATTCCTTGGAGTTTCACTATCTCATCAGGAGGCCGTGAGCACAGTGAGGGATAACTTGCCAGGTATAATCCCTGTAAGCGGAAAAAGAAGGGAAAAAAAAAAATAAAAAAAAATGACAAACATATTCATCGCTTCGCAATCAATGCATGCGCCAAGAAAAGTCAGAAAAAAAAAAAAAAACAGCTTTACAACATGATAATTTCCAAGCAAGAGCAAAAATATGCTGTGTGAATCAATAATAAATACCCCCTCCCCTCCCCCCTTCCTCCCCGCCGGGATTCATTGGAAGATAACCGGGTCAACTCCTGCAAACATTTCTCTCACACGCCTCCTTTCCCGATCAATATATGCGCCATGCAAAAAAGAAAAAAAAAACAGAAAAAAGAAAAAAAAAACACAAAGCAAAAAAATACGGTTTTAAGTTTAACCATAATGTCTGTCATTGCTTACGCACACAAACACATGACTTACAAGGAAGTGAATCGCCATCAGAGTCGGACGCACTCTCCTCGTCTGAATTGCCACCATCGTTACTGCTGCTCCTGCTGCCACTCGAACACTCCTCTCCTTCACTTGAGCACACAGGTGCCGCTAAACAGGTAGCAGATGCCGTTCGTGCATTGTTCAGGGCCTGTAAAATAGCATCCATATGGGTGTTAATTAATAATAATAATTACCCCCTCCCCTTCCCTCCCCCCTTCCTCCCCGCCCCCCATCCATACGGGTCTTAATCAATAATAAATACCCTCCCCCCATACTCCCCGCCCTCTCCCCCCTTCCAAGAAAACGAACCCCGGCCCCGCTTGTTGTCTCTGAGAAGAGCAAGCAAGCAAGGAGTAAGTGGGCTTACGCCAAACAAGTCGCCTGTTGCTTCCATCACCATTCTTTTTTCGCTCCATTTACTCGCAGACTATTGATTTATTAATTACAACTTCATCACACCCATCGATTTGTGTGACATGTGGACATTTCAGAAGAAAAAAGAGAGAGAGAGAAAAAAACGCTAGCCAGGAAGATGAATGAAACACTGCGCAAGGAGTTCAGAAGCGCAAGGAGTTCAGAAAAAAAATAAGACCCAAGAAAAACAGGAAAGAAAAGACAGAACCACCCTTACCTCCTGCTCCTCTTCCTCCTTCGCATCATCAAACATCATCATGAATCGCTCCCCTGCAATTGCACACACACACACACACACACAGAGGCAACCACACGTATGCAAACACAAACACAACGACAATTTCAGCCACACATTAGTCTAGCGGACCGGTAGCAATCATCCTGTTCAGCACCCTTCTACAGATTGTTCATTTCAATACACTTTGTTTTCCACATCTCTCTCTCTCTCTCTCTCTCTCTCTCTCTCTCTCTCTCTC